CGTCGCTTACTCATTTTGTCCGCTCCCTGGCTGGTGTGTCTTCGCATCATCCTGCACCTTCAGCAATGACCACCTCCACTGACACCCTCACACATAATCCTGCTGAGTTGACAGCTGCTCCCAACGAGCACTTTGTACGGGTTGGCACACAGGATGATCCTGACTGGCCCGTCCCAGATCTGTCTCATCTCCCTTCTCTGGCCTCGAACCTCTCAAACATTGTTATATCCTCTGAGGCCGTGATTCCCTATATTGAGAAACTCCCCACAGGGAAGTCCCTAGGCCATGACGGTATAAGCAACCAGATTCTGAAGGCCTTGAAACTTTCTATCTCCTATCCTCTCTCTCTTACCTTCAATAATTCCCTGTCCAGCGGCGTTTTTCCTACTGCCTGGAAATATGCTGTGGTTGTGCCCATATACAAGAACGAGGGAAGCAGACATGATCCTGGTAACTATCGCCCTATCTCGTTGCTGAACACCTGCTCCAAGATACTTGAGAGAATCGTCTATGATCGGCTGTGCCATCATCTGGCACCTCTGCTCCATAATATGCAATCTGGGTTCCGCCATGGTGACTCTACCTCTCTACATAATAATAACCAACCTTGTACAGAGACTATGCACCCTCCGAGACCGACGCCATTAGCTTGGCCTGTGTTTCTTCGACCTGGCGAAAAGTTTGACTCAGTTTTGCATAGGGGGTTACTAGCCAAGCTGCATGCTTCACCGGCCGCCTGCAGTCGTGGCTCACCTCCTATCTCAACCACAGGACTCAATCAGTCAAGCTTGGTCCAGTCTTCTCAGAGTCCTATCCCTATTTGCTCCGGTGTACCGCAAGGGTCCACCCTAGGACCGTTACTTTTCATGGCCTTCGTCAACGACCTCCCTGTCCTCAACGCTGGCGTGTCTCTGTTTGCAGACGACACTTGCATGCTGCGCAGTAGTCCCTCTGTGTCACGTCTTATATTGTACCTCCAAGCGGGTATCATGGATATCACCTCATGGATGGCATTGTGGAAGCTTAAGCCTAACATCGGGAAGACCAAGGTAATGATCATTCCCCCTCTGTCTACTACTCTCTACTACCCTCTCCCTCCCCTAGTATTCCATTTCTCCACCACTCCCATAGAATATGTATGTCATCACAGGCATCTTGGTGTCATTTTTGACACCTATCTCTCCTGGACACACCATGTTGCCCACATATGTAAGAAGACGAGTCAAGCCATATGTATGATACAGTAAGATCGGGCGCCGAAGAACGCAGGGGCTCGAGCGCAGCCTAGGAAAGTTCTTAAAATTTTGATTCTAGCCAGACCGTTCTTATTCACACGCGCGCCGGGCGTCGAGTGACGTCATGACGTTTGTCATGTACATGTACATGTAGTGCAATGTAGTACTTCTAAACTAGTGGGTGTCGTAAATAGGAATGACTGTACATGTAGCAGTTACTGTTTACACGTGTACATGACATGTACTCACCTCCCATACATGTACAATGTAGATCTACGTGTAAATTCGCAACTTCGTGTAAGTACATGTATGAAAATTTTAAAAGTGTTCTTAAATCTGATAATTCTAGCCTGGACTGTTCTTAAATTTTGCCGGTTTTCCAGCCTGGGTGTTCTTCGGCGAGGTGTTCTTCGGCGCCCGATCTTACTGTATACTCACACCGCGCCCGTCTTCCTGACACCTATCGTGCTCTTTTTTATAATGCATATATCTTGCCGCATTTTTACTACTGCTGTACTGCCTGGACAAATCTATCTATTATAATACTGTGTTATCCTCGACCAGACCTCTCCTAGAAAGACGACGAATCATGATGTGGTGTCTTATCCATCGTATTCGACTTTCCAAAATACCCCCGCATCTTAAACAATTTGACTGGTTCCGAAGGGATAGCTCCACTAGGAACCAACTCTCCCTTCCTCTAGCCCGCTCCTCTGCATTGCTTCCCTCCCCCATTTTCATTGGCTATTTGCATTGGCTTAAGCTGCACCAGGAGACAAAGGGCCTTTCTACTTTAACAGCATTCAGGAACGCCTTGCTTTACAAGTAGACCACAATTTTAGTCCATCTTTGCTTCTTTTCCTTTTCTTTGTGACTTCTTATTCTTTCCCTTGTTAGCCGTGGCTGGCTATAAAAACCCTGCAATCGCCACGCAAAGTGATCATTGGCCACCCCAGCCATGCATTCCTTGGAATAAAAACAAATACTTATTAATATTATTATTGATCTGGCTATCATACAATCATGACTGTCGTCATTGCTACATAAAGTGCTAAAAAGTGTTACGTGTGTCTACACAAAGGGATCCACGATCCAGTAACCTGGTGACACAAGGAGGGTTGCACCTACCTCTCGCTCATGAGTGTAGCAGATTGTTGCCAAAAAGCTGGGAATTCCCAATACTATCCCGTTTTATATTCACTATGAAAGTCCAAATGCCGCTGAAATCTCACAAAATGCTCGTCTTTTTTCCTTTCTAATGCTCTGGTGCTCGGATAGTCCTATAATGCGGAATACAATGCGGAATATAATGCGGGCATTATCCGCTGGACTCTAACTATAACCCACACACTTCACGTGCAAACTAGCCATTCTGATTTTAAAACGGTCTTAAAAAATATAATGTTCTTGACGGTGTGGTCAGTAATGAGTGTGGGTTCTGAGTCTGTTGTCGCCACTCGCCTGTTTGCACATGTTTCAAGACGGCCTCTTGAATGATTCTTGTTTGACCTTACCTTGTTTGTTTATTTATTTATTCTCCTCTGAGTCACGTTGGTGCGAACGTGCACATGCAGATGCTCAGTCTATAGCCACGTGGTCTATTATGTTATTGCTTTTTTTATGGATTCTCCCCAGGCCTTAAGCCGTGTTCACAACTGGCGCGTAGACGCGGTACGCTTGCGGTTCATGCGTGCTCGAATGCGCGCTCAGGCTTTCTAAAAAGACAGCAATTCGGCACGTACGTATTTAGGGCGTGAGGCGCCTTTGAGTACTAATTTTTGGACCCCGCCAGTCAAAGTGACTGGCGCCCCAAATGCCAGCAAAAAATACGCACAACCGCGTGGTTTCACGCGTACACGTGCCAGTTGTGAACACAGCTTTTTAGCCTAACTTGAGGGAGTCGTTATTATGAGAAGTGTCATTGCTCTTTTTCAACTGACACTGATAATTCTCTCCGTCTGTCTCATCGCGTTCTAATGTTCTCCTCCGTCTCCTTCTCTCTATTTTGTTTCAACTTCGAATGTGTAATTGTTTGAGCCAGGGAGTCGTAACAATTGATGTTATTTCACGACTCCCTGGTTGGAGCTGCTCTCATGATACATTGTTTGTATTTTTGAAAACCCTTTGTAACAGCGATCATGCGCTTGTCCAGCTGCGCTGTGCTGTATGTGCTATGACCAGGGAGTAGTACACAACCCCTTGCACTATACTCCCTGGCTATGAGTATAATATGTCACGTCTACATGTACCGGAATGTGGTGGCGCAATCGCGCCGTGCCTTTGCTGGCCTTTGCTCCTTCCTTTTGTTTTAGGCTGCGTTTACACGGAGACGGAACGAAACGAAACGGAACGAAAAGGCGCTGGCCTCGAACCGTTTTTAAACCGTTTACATGAGAACGGCAAATCATTTAGAATCCTTTAAACGAAAACGGAAACGGGCAATCAGGCTGGAGTTAGCAAGTGCTGGCTTGGCGCAAGGGCAGAATCTAACACGAATCTAACACGTTAGTTGGAGTTGGCATGTGCTGGTGGGCGCAAGGGTTGGATATTTCCCGCAAAATATAGTCCCACACGGATTGGTTTCCATGACCGCGCTTCGTTTCCAGTCGTTTTCACCGTTTAACTTACACGAGAACGAAAACGTTTTGAAAAGGTTTTCAAAACACTTTGAAGTGTGTTTCCATTTCGTTCCGGTTAGGTATTGTTTTTGGGCGTTGTCCTGAGTTGTCGTATAAACGATAGTAGAAAACGAACGATTTCGTTCCATTTTGTTTGGACTTCGTTGTCGTGTAAACGCAAATCGTTGTCAATCGTTGTCGTGTAAACGCAGCCTTAGTTACGGTTATAATTTGTTCGTATTTTGTTAGGAATTTCCCAACAGGTAATGTTGTCTTTTTACTGCGAACCCTAAATGTGACTTTGTGAGAGCGATGGTTGAAGTCTTTTGCGAGGAGAAATCCAGATCGTCTAATGGTGTCTTGTCCCATTTGCGTTCGAAGAGTGTGCCTGTGGACGTGGATCGGATTTTGAATTCCTGCCCGGAACACGTATTTTATGAAAGGTCAATCTATGGAATCATGAAAGACAAAATACAGGGAAGGTGCGTCGAATTAGAAAGAAGTATTGGTACACAGTCAAATATAGCCATAGTCAAACGCTTTCGATAGAATAATCATCAATAATTTCTAATGGAGCAAGAAAAAGAACATTTGGAACTTGCGATGAGTTCCTTTCCTTTGTCTAATTTGATTGGCTCAAAATAAGAGTTTCACATCAAATAGTGAAAATATCGTACTGGAAGACAACACCCACTGTACGTATGATTAAAAGAAAGGGAGACTGGGCCAGACAACACTCGGCCGCTTGTCAGCTGCTAGGAAATAAAAAAATAAAAAGGGCACAGTACCGGTAGTATGGGATGAGAAAGCATACAACAGGGCTATGATCCTAGTCTTAGCATCTCCGCATGTATGTGAATGTGTGGGAATGTATCGAAGTTTGATGGGTGGAATGATCATAGAACCTTCATCTCTCGGCCACAAGAACACACTCTCTTCCCGAATAGTCATTTATACAATTAATAGAAAGATCATGGTGACTGGATTGTTGAGACACTGGTTTGGTCAGGAATACTTACTCTAGTATTATTATCGCTTTGGGAATACAGAAACACGTTGGGAAAAATCATTTACTTCTGTAATGTTTTAAAAAACAAGCGTGTCGGAGACAGCAACTATAATATTATAGCAACAAGGATGATCAATATCGATGTAAACATATCCTTATAATTATGTCTACATGCATGAGTGAAAAGTTAAGCGATGATTGCAAGGCACACAATGAACAAGAAAGAGAGCATTCATTCTGGAATAGTCATCTGCATTGGGAATGCTCATCCACACCGGGCATACTCATTTCTATTGGGAGTATCCATCCACATTGCAGAAGAAGAGGTCCGTTGTCTCCTATATGATGTTCCCTAGTAAGACAAACCACAGCCAACATACATTACTTCAGGTCAGAAGTCTAGCAATGTGGATCTGCCGGGGCTACCCCTTAAAACATCATCTTGATCATTGCCTGGAAGTGCCATGTCCAGTGCATTCGAATGACAATGCAGAGCAGCCTACTGAACCACCTGGCAAATATTCCTCTGCATTAGCAGAGAAATCTGCACTTGAAATTCTTGAAGTGCTTGGGTAGGATTTCTAATTGTTTCCTTTTTTCGGAATTTTTTTGGTAGGCGTGAGTGTTGAAGTCTTAAAAGAGAATAATATTGAACGGTCTTTGCTAGGATGACAGTCCTGCACCATAGCTCAGTGGTTAGAGCATTGCTGGCTTCAAGCAAACGTTCCTGGTTCCAGTCCTGGGAGTGACAGTCAATTGTTTCTTCAGAACTTTCGATTTTTTAAGTACTACTTCCTCCGCGATGGGAGCTGAAATATTTGAGCTGGTGCGCATTTTCAATACTGATCGTGTCATGGTGAGTTTGACTAGCTGTGATCAGTCAGGCGTAACCACCTGCACATTTCTCTGGTTCAACCCAGCGGTGTAAGGTTCGAACCACATGAACACAATACATATTTTCAATAATAAACCTTTTTTAGGGCAGGGCGCCCCTGTGGTAGAACCCGCTCGTTGCTTTCTACATGACTGTGCTCATCCCCATCACTCAAAATACTGATCTCTGTTCGCACCGGAGCAGGCGTACAAATGCGTCCGCTGAACGAACTCCAGCGCTTGGCTCATGCTGGTTGAGGAAACAACAGGCAAGAGCCGTGCAGTGATGAACGCGCGTGCAACATACCAGTGATACTGAAACAGAGAACACGCTGTGGATTCACTCAAGGAAATTGGATTATCCTATTGGATGTTGGTAGAAACAAAAATTCCCAGCACATGATAAATCAGCCACAGCAGGCAGCAGGCACCTCGTGAACACCTGGTGGCAGTGTGAATCAGTGTCGCTCCTGGATGGGCTAGCAGGCACAGGGAAGAGTGAGCTCCGTTGTGGGGAGCAAACCCTTCGCTGACAAGTCATCGCCGAAGTCACTGCCACTATTTCGTACTGGTGTGCCCAGGGCAGGCTTGCGACTTTGTAGTTGGTTTGAAGTGACAGCGTTGTGAATGACCGAGGGTCCTGCACGTCTGTTCCAGGAATGACGCTGACTCACGCTGCTATCTGTTGTTCACGAGGCGTTTGTCGCGCTGGAAACGGAGCGTCTCTGCAAGTTTGTAACCATGGTGATGGTTTGGTCAGGAGAGCACTATATAAGTGGTGCTCCTCAGACAAAATCTTCCTTACCCTACTGAAGCTCAATTGAGGCGGGGTGAATATCCTGAAATAGTGTTTGTTGAGCAGGGAGTGGTGCTTTCTTGCAGGTCTGCCAAGTGGAAGGCTCAATGGACACCTAGTGTGCTCTGGATGGCCGTCGTGAGTCAACCAAGTGTCACGCCAAGTCGGCGGAAAAGCTGAAGCTCCAGTGTCGGGAGCAAACCCTTTCCTAATACGAACGTCCTGAAAAGCGTTTAAAAAGACCCGGACCATGAAGATGTTTCCTTTTCCCGGTTCACAACAAAAGATGACGTTTCTCACCATTGTGAACTTCCTTCCCACCACTGTATTCCAGGCTCCTGTTTGTTGACGGAACATATTCACAAGTCAACGTCAACTTCCAGCTGACTATCATTTCCAGTGCATACACACATAATTATCACATACACTTCTTCACTCTCTTCGGAAGCGGAAAGGCGGTTCTTGACCAGAGAGTTGTACGACTCCTTTTTCTTGACCTGCCCAGTACGCGAACCCGTCGAATTTGTTTTCTTCACTCTCTTACATTTCATCTCTTCGTTACCTTGTTAATGGGAAGAAACTCCCCTTACGGATTTGCGAAATAAAACAAAAGTTCAGTAAAAGAAGGTCAACAACTTCACTTTGTCATTTTCCCTTTTATCAAGTGCATTGTGACTCATCTCATGGTGGTGTATTGTAGGAAGTAGCAAGGATCATTTGATTCGCGCCGCAGGTATTCACACCGAGATCATGGACAGAGAGGTTCTGCAAAACAAAAATGCGTACAAACTGTCGCCCTACGTCATGAAGTGAGAAATGTCGCACGAACTTTCGCAAAGCTTTGAACACGAAAGGAACTTTCGTGGGAAATTTCGTGAGATCAGAACATGGTGTACGTGCACTTGGCATGTGCAAACTACGAAAATTTGCAGACCACAACGTTTGTGCGAAAATTCTTACACATTTTTGCAAGACCTGTCACGAAACTTCGTTCGAAATTTCGTTTTGCGGAACCTCTCTAATAGATGTCCTTCGTGGCGTTCTACCAAAGTGTTGCCATTATCTGTTGCAGTTATTCTTGCAGTTGTTCTTGTCCAATTTCTTCTTCCAGCTGGTTGTGCAGTTCTGAAGCATTGAAGAAAAATTGAGAGGCCGAGTTCATCTGAACAACACTTACTTATGCAACGTGGTAAATTCTTCCAGATGCCATCCGGCCCGCAGGCCACTTCTTCCTTGAGGGTGTGAAGTTGATAGCCTGTCTCACATGTAACATGCAGATCCTTGCTAATGGATCGGTATCCGAGTAGATTGAGCTGCGCTTCATCAACTCTGCATTCTGCAAAGAGGAGGAAGAAAAACAGGCAGTTTTGTCAATTCGAAGACACGCTAAAACATTGAAATCGACTACACTCGAAGATGTCCGAGAAAAGATTTATCTTTACCTTTGGTACAGTCGATTTTTGCACGGCGCCTGGGTGACTGAGTCTTAAAACGAGACTTATATTGTAACAGGACTTGCAACTAAAGGTGAAGTAGGCACCAGTTTGCACTTACCTGGGATACCTTCAATACAACGTAATTTATCGCCACTTCAACTCGTCGAGTGACGGAAACCCGTGAATGAAGTAAAAAGACGACAATCTGACAAAGCCATGCTGAACTTCATGCAATTTGTGCATTAGAACGACAGCACAGCAGTGCAGTTAGTGAGGGATAGAATTGCAATTCCGCCTAATAAAAGACTACAAGCAGCTATTCTCTGCTGCCGAATGTTGCTGCATCGGCCCCTTATTGAGCTATTACAATTATTCATAAAAATCACCATGGAGTGCAGTAGAGCGTTTTTTAGCTCTGGTTTTCAGTGGGGTATTTTTGGTAAGGTGTGCCCATTGTGGCTAGACTTTGCAATAATGAGCCCAGGAGTTATTGGTGTAGATGTTCAAGACCAATTTGTCGATCCTAATCCAACTGCTGGCTCAATAACAGAGTCAAGCTCTCAAACTTCTATTGCGCAGCTCGTAGAATTGTTCCAAGCCAAACGAAGCGCAGCGGAAGACAGGGAGAAGAGGCTTGGGGTTTGCATAGACCTGTTGACTCAACAAGTACAATCTTTGACGCCGATGACCACCAATGCTACTTTGCATTCGGTTGAGTCAACATCAACTAGCTTGGCCGCCATTGCCAGTGCAGGCGCGAAGAAGAAACATAAGCGCACAGCAGAGTGGAAGCAACAACAGAAAAGACGGTACAACCTCTAGTACGTTGGCGTCGGTTGAGACCCCGCTTGGTTCAATCAGCGACTTTCAAACGGATTCAAATAGTGATTCCCACGGCACCAAGCATGGTTAGGTTACAGCTGGCGATGCAAGTGATCCGCTTTCCCATCTTCAAAAGTTTGAGGAATTGTCCGAAGATAGTGATTACAATGGTGCACAGTGGGAGGTCGTCGCATCGAAGAAAACCAACAGAGAGAAAGAGTGTCCTGTCCACAGGCGATTTAAAGAAGGATATGTCAGTGGGGCAGCTGGAAAACTTCCTTGTGAGCAGAGCGGATAGAGAGTTTCGTAAAGACCGCCAATTGCATGGTGGAGGTGTGTGTGTCTACTGTCATAAGTCGCTAGCAATACGTGGCAGGATGGACTTGGAATGTGAGACCTTAGAACTGGCCTGAGCTTGGCACTGGCGAGCAGAGAATACTTGTTGCATGTGAATACCGACCACCGAACATGCGTACTGCTTACTGGGAAGATTTCGAGGAGAACATTGATTATGCTTCCCAAGGTCGTCAATAATCTATTGTGCTTATTGGTGATCTGAATATTGACCTTGGCAACACGCAAACTGGTTCCCCGTACATCGCATCCTCGCCCGCTTTGGCTTACAGAACTATGTGAACGCTCCTACCAGAGTCACGAGTCACTCACAATCTACCATAGACCTATTCCTGTCCACCACCCCCATTCAAGGTCCTTCTGAAATTGTGTACCTGGATATCAGCGACCATTATGCTGTCCTAGCTCGTCTTCCTTGCAAATCTAGCTCAAGACGCCAGAGGGAAACAATGACAAAGAGCTGTCGCCTTCATCATGTTGATTGGAATACTTTTCAAGTTGACCTAGCCTCTACGCTGAATTCATCATTTAACGAGGATTCAACCGATAGCATGGCATGCTCTGTCACTGAAAACCTCTATTTCATAGAGCAATGTGCTACAGTAGATCAGAAGAAGCTTTGGGCAGTCATGAACACCGTAACAGGCAGAACGAAGAGTCGGCACGCACCACAAGTAACTGTCACAGAGCTAAATGATGCATTTGGAGCCATTGTCCATGATCCCCATCAACCAGCCACATTGCCAATGCCAGCTGGCCCAACTGGCTCAGTGGGACTGACATCTTTCACTGCAGTTCAGATTCCTGATGTTTCCACGTGATTACAGTGCATCAACCCCACTAAAAGCTACAGCCTAAGTGTGAATTTATTTTACTTCTGCTTGCAAAGGTTGGGCTTAGGCTGTTAGATAGGTCGTCAAAACCTCGTTAGTTATGTCCAGTGGTTGTCTCTTGTTGTCGCACTAAATGTCAAGCTTATTGAGCTTTCTCGCACTTGCACCTTTTTGTCATTATTGCTATGTGTATAGGTCATGCATTTTCGCTGTTTACTTTAGCTATCTTCTTCTTTGCGCTGTTTTCCCACCTCCTTACTGTACTTAATCCACTGTTCCTGTTCCTTTTCCTTTGCCTGTATTTCACCTGATGAAAAGGCTTGAAAGTATACTTGTAAAACCAAAAAACTTTCAAGATATTCATAAAGAGCCTGACGTGTGTCCTTTTTTATGAGTATTATCGCATTTTGTCTGAGAGGAAACTGTTTACTGTTCATATCTGATCATCATACTACTGTTATACTGTCGTAGTACGTTATTTTGTGTACGTCTTGTGTACGCCATGTTGGTGCATGCGCATGTTGCTGGGATGGGAGAGCAGTCTTCGTCTTGAGTTCATGATGTCTTCGTCTTGAGTTTGTCATGTCTAGTTGTGTTTCGTCGGCGTGTCAATACAGACTCTTCTAAATGTAGTTATCGTCGTCTCTTTGTACAAGTGTGGAGATGGCACGGGACTGGGAGCAGGTAGAGAAAAGCGAGTTACAACATTGGTGGCAGCGGTGATAGAAATTTGTTGTCAACTTCTGGATTCGTCCTGCATAGCCTTCGCTTCCAGTTTCCGATGTCATCTCCAGTCGTACTATCGTCACAGTTTTGTCCGTCTTGAAGAAGTTCGTCCGTCGTCTCGGTCCTTCATCATTCGTCTCTCCCGTCTCTTGGCAGTCGTCGTCACTGATGGTCCCGGACACGACGTAAAACTGTGCTCAGAAGAAAAGCTTAAAAAAAGAAGAAGGACGGATGGTCCCGGACACGACGTAAAACTGTGCCCAGAAGTGAGAATGTCGACGCTGAGCAGCCCTCCTGGAGATGGTGGACGACATGGCAGACGGCGTGAGGAGTTTCGCTGGTGAGAGGGTACGTGTGTTGTTGTGAACGTGAGGAGTACGTGAGTTTTGTATTTTCTGTTCTCCCAACATTTTTGTTCATTATTATTTGCTCTCCTCGAAGGTAAAGAGGCGCCCGCACAGCACGTGTGTTCAGTTCGTCTTTTTGATTTGCTCTTCTATGAGGTTAACTAGAGGCCCCCACAGAGCCAGTGGATTCTGTTCTTTTTGTTATTCCTATGATTTGTGCTCTCACATTTTAGAATTTTTGCGTGATCGTGAGGTGGTGTGTTGAGTGAAGTAGTTAGAGTTTTTGAGGTTATCAGCTCCCACACGTGTGACAGCGATCGTGGCTGGTGTTCTGGGTGGGCGGACAGAGTTTTTTAATAATCTGCAGTGCAGGCAGAGGTTTTATTTATGGGTGTGACTGGTATGGTATGATTGAGTGATTTGTGTGATCTTTTCCTCTTTTTACTCTGTTTATTATTAGAATGGAGGACGATTCTACTCTTGGGAGGGAGTTATGTTGTAGTACGTTATTTTGTGTACGCCGTGTGTACGTCATGTTGGTGCATGCGCATGTTGCTGTGGTGGGAAAAGCAGTCTTCGTCTTGAGTTCATGATGTCTTCGTCTTGAGTTCGTCATGTCTAGTTGTGTTTTGTCGTCGTGTCATTAAAGACTCTTCTAAATGTAGTTATCGTTGTCTCTTTGTACAAGTGTGGAGATGGCACGGGACTGGGAGCAGGTAGAGAAAAGCGAGTTACAACAATACTAATATCATACTACAGTATTTCCCCGTAAGTTAGTTCTCCCCAATGACTTCGTACCGCCCTATAAAAAATACACTTTCCACTGCCGAAGTTATCACCTCGAAAGACAGTTCCCCCCGAAAGATAGTAAGTTCGTACCCGTCCTACATGTACAGACACCGTACAGTACATACATCATATGCACGGACACTAGAGTTGCGCAGGCCTCCCATTGCGTGTCATTTACCCCCGATAAAAAAGTACTCCCCGAAAGATAGTACCACCACCGAAAGTTAGTGCTCATGTGGCTGCTAAGTTTGAAAGTTAGTACGTACTAACTTACGGGGAAATACCGTATCATACAGCCAAGTAGCTGTGGCATCATTTATGATCCAATGCCTGCACCTATGGTGAAGTAAAATAAGGGTAACATTTTTTATATTGCAACACCTCAAGACTCGGTTGAGAGACCAGTCAATGTGAGGAGAATAGCACTGAAGTTGCTTTTTTTTCTTCCTATTATTCACAAACCCAACTCGTAAAATAAATAATTATGTGGACGAAAGCAAATAGGTACTAAGTAGGGGTAGTACACTTACCAATTATGCACAAGAACATCAAATTAGCGGGGTAGACATTGTCAGCGTAGGATCGCGAACTGATTACTCCATAATCTACATAGAAGATAGAGATGTCCCCAAATACTGCCCAATTTGGTCCCCACGCCAAGTCACTCCCGTTGATGGATAGGTCCCGGGTTGAGTATGGCAGTGTTCCATTTCGCTTCTGACAATCAGATCTGATGGTCGCTACGGATACATGTCCTGTCCTGTCAATGGCGTACACGGATTCTCGTAACCAATGGAATGTTGCTGCAGAAGCAGATTGTGCAAAGCAAATTAATCAACAACGCAAAACAGATTATTGGATAAAATTTGTGCATTCCGCACAAGCCCACGTTTGTGCCAATCATTGACAGTGCTATTCTCCTGCGATATGATCAAAATACTGTCTTGTGCAGCATGTCATGCGATGGAATGGTTGCCAACAAGACATGCAATTGAATGGTTGACAACAAGACATGAAATGGATGGGTTGACAACAAGATATGAATTGGAATGTTTGTCAACAAGATATGAAATGGAATGGGTGCCAACAAGACTTGAAATGGATGGGTTGACAACAAGATATGAAATGGAATGTTTGTCACCAAGATATGAAATGGAATGGTTGTCAACAAGATCTGAAATGGAATGGTTGACAACAAGATATGAAATGGACTGGTTGTCAACAGGATCAGAAATGGAATGGTTGCCGACAAGACATGAGATGGATTGGTTGACAACAAGATATGAGATGGATGGGTTGACAACAAGGTATGAAATGGAATGGTTGTCAACAAGATCTGAAATGGAATGGTTGCCAACAAGACATGCAATGGATGGGTTGACCACACGATATGAAATGGAATGGTTGTCAACAAGATAAGAAATGGAATGGTTACCATCAAAATATGAGATGGATGGATTGACAACAAGATATGAAATGGAATGGTTGTCAACAAGATCTGAAATGGAATGGCTGCCAACAAGACATGAGATGGATGGGTTGACAACAATATATGAAATGGACTGGTTGGCAACAACATATGAAATGGAATGGTTGACAACAAGACATGCGATGGAATGGTTCACAACAATACATGAAATGGATGGGTTGACAACAAGATATGAAATGAAATGGTTGTCAACAAGATCTGAAATGGAATGGTTGCCAACAAGAGATCAGATGGATGGGTTGACAACAAGATATGAAATGGATTGGTTGTCAACAAGATCTGATATGGAATTGTTGACAACAAGACATGAGATGGAATGGTTGACAACAAGAAGGAATGGCTGACAATCAGGTACCAGAAAGAAGGATTGATAAGAAGACATTCTTCCTGACCTCAAGACAACTTACGAACACATTTGTCAATCTTATGCCACCAGTGTACTAGTCCTATAATAGTCGTGCAGTACGGCGTGCCCTGTGGTACATTACTGTGGCCTGCTCTGCAAACAACAGACCCATCTCTGTAAACCTGCTGGTACGCTCCCAAAAGGTTATTGGCTCCATTGACCACGCAGTCTGGGAACACGGAAGAACATGAAAACGTACTGAAGTCGCCTAGAGGCTTAGGTGCTATCCGGCATTATCGATAATTTTCACAAAACGAAAAAGTGTACCGTATTTTACCGGTTATAAGTCGACCCCGGTTATGTAGTATGAACTCTTTTACGCACTTTACTTGTATGCATGCACGTGCCGTTGCGACACGTGTTCACGCCCGCCATGTGGTCTTTACACTCCGAGCATGCGGGCCCCTCAGGTACGCATGTGAGGAACTGATCATGCTTGTTCTGGTTTTCGGGAGTTAGGAGTTTGTTTGCACGAAATGAAGTAGAAGCCTTTGCGGTGTGTGTAGTTCTGTTGTTGTCGGACCTGGATGGTTGCTGTGCGATACACCCAAAACAGGTTATAGGTTGACCCCCGTATCCAGAGGTCTTAATTATGTTTTTTAAGTTTTTGCCCAACGAAGCACTGCTAACTGCTCCCTGCTACTAACACATGAACAAATTACATAAACACTCCTCATTGGATTCTGAAACATCCAAATCCTTGAAAAAGGCAAATAAACTTGGTAAAAATGCATACACATGGTGCACTCGTGTATTCAGTGCAGGTTATTTTTGGAAGATACCGATAATTCCCGGTTATAAGTCGAATCCCGGTTGTAAGTCGACACCCACCTTTTCTCCTGCTATTTTCAGTCATAAAGGGTCGACTTATAACCGGAAAAATACGGTAGTTAGGACCCCCACCCACCCACCCACCTGAATGAAAAATAGATTTACTTGACAGCGAGAATACATTGATGTCTCTCATATCAATATTTTTCAAAAACGAAACTCCCCTTGACCCACCCACCCATAAACGAAACTTTTTTCTCTTCGTGGGCACAAAACTCGTTCCCATGTGTTTTTCTATTTTTACATTATAACTGGTTAAACAGGAAATGCTTTGAGAATCGAATCGCTAGTGTCACCCTGTAGACACGAGATTTTTTTTATTTTTTTGTATTTATGGATTCTCCACAGGCCTTAGCCTAAATCGAGGGAGTCTCCGTCAACAGCTTATGAAGAAGAAGCTGAGGAGAAAAATAAAAATAGGAAATAGAATGATGCGGGGTGGTAGTAATATAACACAGTGCTCTATGACATCGCTACTCTACGTGGAAAGAAACCAGAGGGCTCATAACGGGTGATAGCAAAGTGAATGCGAACACTTTGATGTCCCAGTGCTGTACACTGCCCGCTGCCGCTTTCTCTACGTAGTATGACCAACTAGCTACAGTCAGCATGAACGCATCCATAATGAGTGTTTTACACAAAGTGTCTGTAGTCTTCGCTGGCAAACAGTGCCCAATACCTTAAAAAGGGGCAGAGCTTACCACACAGGGCAGAACAACAGAGACCAAAAATCCTTCTCGTGACTCCGAGTTTCGTGTTTCAAAAAACTTTGTTTCTGATGAGTGGTTTTTGAAACACGAAATTCGGAGTCACGAGACGGATTTTGGTCTCTGTTGTTCTGCCCCGTGTAATGAGTGTCTTAGCAACTAAACTTGTCAACCAAAACCGCCATCGGTGGCTCGAGCAGTCCCAGTTTGGCACATCATGTGATGCCCACCAAGCAGTGACAGCTGCGACAGGCAGCGACAGCACGCAATTCAACATCTTGGGCTTCTGCAGGCTACAAGCATGTATGGCACCGAGTGTGCTTGCAGTGCAGAAACCGGCAACTCATTGGGTGAGAGATGTGTTTAGCGCTTTGCAAGACGTTGAACTTTGGACAAACATAGTCTTGCAATGTCATGCAAGAGTACACAACAGGCATTATTTTGTGTCACAAGCTTCACATGTTGCTTGCATATCCATGTGGTAATGTTGTGGATCGTTTCACAGAGCCAGGCACATTTTTGGTTTGTTTTATTTGAATTTGCAGGACCAAACAAGCAGAGATACTCAACAACAAGGTTGAGCCAGGAAAGGCACACGCACGATTCACATACTTCGAAGTATTAATTACACCCATACTAAATTGAGCCAGCACACGCAAAAGTCACCCTTAGTGACATATTTTTAGAAACTGAGATGACAGTGGATAAAGGCAGATGGATTTATGCAGAATTCAATGCAAAAAATGTTTGAAAATTCTTGAGTAAAACTTGAGTTACGGGTCTTAAAAAATAGAGCATTTTCCCTGATATATCGCACATCACACGAAAACAGAGAATGTTTGAAGTGCGTTTTTCTCAGTTTGAAGTGCGTGTCACTAAGGTCGATTTCCGCGTGCGCTGCCTCAATTATACTGCTGCTGATGTATCCAAGTAGAACTGAACAAAACATCATTGTACTAAACCAGGCGCATGTAGTCAGACTGCAAGAAGCAACCAAAGCCACACACCCAAGAATCTATGCATCTCACCTGCACGGTAACCGCTTGCAGGTGGATTGACTGCGCAGAACAATACAACAATACACAGAAGGTTCTTGGCGCGCTTTGTCTGTGCAGACGCCGAGACCACCAAGGTCAGCTGAGCAGCAGGGCCCCGCCACCACTTTCCGCATTCATTCGGGAGCATAGTGGACTTAGTAAAAAAAGGAAAAAAGGAACTTTCTTTTAAAGTCACATCTGCTAGCAAGGAAGAACCCTTGGTACATATGGAACTTGACTGGCGAACCATAAATCCATGCACCACACACAGCAACAACAGGCGATGGAGGGAAGAACGTTCCAACGCCTCTTCACCCCGTGGCAAGTAGTCAAGAACAGAACAGTAAAGGGTGCTCTGGCAAGTAACATGTCACCACACTGATTATGCCTACCATTTCATGTGGACGTGTGCCAGCCACCAATATGATGTAGACACTTGTTGGAACATAGACTCTGCCATCCTTCATGTATTAAAACAAACATGGCTGCTGGACTTAGGAGCCACTGCTTGAGGTTGTATGAATAACAGCAGCACGAGCATTAGAAATCTCTCCAATACTGTCTCAATGCCACACTCCGTTTGTGGGATCTTGATTCTAGATTAAAATCTTGGCTTTACCAAGGCTGTGTTTACATCAGAAATTTCAACTCGGGTTGAGTTCACCCCGGGTTGAAAGTCTGTACGATAGACGAAATAGGTGAGCGTTCACATGAAGACCGTTGACCGAATACTGATATGCCGCCAAAAGTCCACTTCTAGAGTCCTGTATGGTCACGTGAATATTTTCGCGCGAAATTATTTACATGTGCAGTGCTGTTCAAATCTGGCGCGAGTTACACACAGAAGTACGTTAGTACGATTTCTCACTGCGGGTCAAGCACAATGCGTCATGTAAACGCGCCATTAATTTCGTGTACAAGGCGGGTTGAAATCCGACCCGGGTCGAACTCAACTCGGGTTGAAACCTCTCATGTAAACACAGCCCAAGCGAAACAAGCGACGAGGAGACAATAGTCGTAAAAATGGCAATAAATAAGCTCAATAAATATTGTTGAAAGTCACATGCAAGAAAAAGTTATGGAACTTAACTTTCATCATTTTTGGCTGTTGCCATGAGTGCACAATTGATCTTATTATTTTATTGCCATTGAATCAAGAGAGGATTGATTTTTCACCATTGGCTTTTCAAAGGAGCTTGGGATTATTCTCTAGAG